TTCTCAGCCATCACTAGTGAATAGCCTAGCTCCACATTTTAGGTTATTACCTAAATTTTCTGATGAAGGGTCTAGACCTGAAACGTCAGCTTTCCTGATGCTCTGATGCTGCTTGGCCTGCTGTGTTCATCCAGCTCTACACCTTGTTATCTTAGGTTATTACCTGTTCATTCTACAAAATCCTTTAAGAACATCAAATATTTGATTAAATCACCCCTTTAATTTTCCACGTTTAGGATAATCCAAAGCTAATCTATGCAGCTTATCCTTGTAACTTATGCCTTTTAGCTCCAGAACTATTCTTGTGCATTTGTGCTGCATTCCTTCCAAAATTGCTATCTCCTTCATGCAATAAAGTGTTCAAAATGAATGCAGTACTCCAAATATGATCTAGTCAGAACTTTGTAGAGCATAGTTCCAAAGACCCCACCATTTTAAAAACTGTTCTGATGCATCTTTCTTGGATCCAAAGAAGCTTTCAGCTTTGCAACATTGAGCTCCATCTACCCATAGCCTACCTGGGATTTCGTTTTAAGAAGTTGGAATCGACCAGTATTAAGAACTCATATTACTGCCAATGATATAGGTTGTGAAAGCGACTCTATTTGAAATTCTGATGTGATCTGGTGACTAACAACGAGAGGTGAAAAGATCTGGATCTTACAAGATGTGGTCTCCTCTATACTGGGGAGACCAAATGCAGACTCAGGGACCGGTTCGCAGAGCATCTGTGCTCTACATGCATCAACCAATCCAACCTACCGATTACCATCCATTTTAATTCACCCTCCCACTCCCCTGACAACATGTCCAGCCTTGGTCTCCTCCACTGTCAGAGTGAGGCCAAGTGTAAACTGGAGGAACAACACCTGATAATTCGCCTTGGTAACTTACAGCCCAATGGCCTCAACATTGACTTCACTAGCTTCAAAATCCCTCCACCCCCAGCCTTATCCCATGTCCAGCCCTCCCCCTCCCCCTCCCCCTTCTCCTCACCTCCCTGACCTGACCTAACCTGTCCATCTTCCTACTCACCTATTTCCTCCACCCTTCCCACTGACCAATTGCAATACCTCCTACCTGCTTCCACCTATCAGCATCTCTCCTACCCTTGCCCCAGCTCCACCTGTCTCCATCTATTTATTTCTGGCCATGTTACTAATGCAAAAAGTGGAAAAAGCCAATCTAACTCTTTTAGTCTGTGTATTAATGTTATATATGTTCCTCTTGAGTGGTGTTGAACAGGACAATACTGACAGATCCAGGTTCATATAGCTTCAGCACTTTCAATCTCAGGTTCTGTTCTGATTCCTTTTGCTTTCGTTGATTGACATCTACTCCCATTGATCTTCTTCCTGCCCCCCAGCCACCTAATACTCAGCTAACCAAAGCTTCGATACTGGAAGAATTAACAGCTAAGAAATTCTGGAGCAACTGTTTGTTCTAATGTACTTTTAAAGCCCACTGATAGAATTCTTTCAGCCTGTAATGGACTCTCATGCTCTTTCTGTTCTCTAACTCCTATCTTCCCTGGCTGTCTTTATTTTAACTAATCATTTCTGCCTCCTTCTCTGTTGCACACATAAATTGTCATCTCAGTCTCTGTTTGCTGTTTTCTATTTGCTCTGTCTTGTATGTCTGTATCATTCTCCACGTACCTCTCATAAAGTTTCTCACCCCTGCTGTCTATTATATCTTCCAGCCTCTCTGTCTGCCACTGTAATAATTTTATACCATCCCTATAGGTAGAATTTTAAAGAACTTTGCTGAGGCATCACCTGGAGTATTATTTATTCCTGAGATGTCAGGATTGCCCTCTGAGGAGACAGTGAGGGCGCTGCACCCTGTATTCTCTAGGGTTTAGAACAGTGAGATTGAAACATAGAGCCCTTAGAAGGATCAACAGGGTAAATGCCCCTGTCTTTTTGGGAAGGGGTTGGAAGAGAGAGACATGATGTGTATTGAACCAGACCCACAGTCTCAGATTAAGGGGTAGGCCAATTAAGACCGAGATGAGGAGGAGTTTCCTCACTGAGTGGGCATCTTTGAAATTCTTTGCACCAATGGAGGCTCGATTGTTGAGTATGTCAGGATAGAGATCAAAAGGTTTCTAGATATTAAACATATCAAAGGATATGCGGCACGGTGGCACAGTGGTTAGCACTGCTGCCTCACAGCACCAGGGACCCAGGTTCGATTCCAGCCCCGGGTGTCTGTCTGTGTGGAGTTTGCACATTCTCCCTGTGTCTGCATGGGTTTCCTCCCACAGTCCAAAGATGTGCAGGTTAGGTGGATTGGCCATGCTAAATTGCCCGTAGTGTTCAGGGATGTGTAGATTAGGTGGGTTATAGGGGGACGGGTCTGGGTGGGATGCACTGAGGTTCGGTATGGACTTGTTGGGCCGAAGGACCTGTTTCCACACTAGGGATTCTATGATATGAAAATAGTGCAGGAAATAACATTGAGATAGAGGATCATCCATGACCTCGCTAAATGGTGGAGTAGGCTTGAGGGGCTGAATGATCTATTCTTGATCCTATTTCCCATGCCACTGTATACCTCCCACATAGCGACTTAATGTTTCATTATAATGTTTGTCTGTCGCTCATCCTTTACCCTCTTTCCTCCCCATCCCATGTAACATTAGAACCAGGCAGAGCACTGACTCTCTGGTGATAGCCTTCAGCCCCCCGAGAATGAAACAGGGGTAACTGGGCTCTGAGCTATAAGACAATAGAACTTGGACTTGCTCTGGGCTGGGGTACAATTGTACCTCATGCTAAATGGTTATTCTCTCTCTTTTTCATAAATGCAGGGCTGTTGCTGACCACTGCAAACTGGAGAATTTTGTAACCTATTTCATGTGTTTCCTGTGAGTATCAATTGTAGGCAAGAAGAGGGAAGATCTGGTGCAGTTCACCCTCATTGTGGTGAATGGGCCTTTAAGGGGTTACCCCATCATTCTGTAGCTGTCCTCAGTCCAAGGATGACCATGCAGAGAATATATATGTGTAAGGGACAGTGGGTTGAGAATGGCTGTGGAACGATGGATATTTTGTATTACAAAGGAACAGCATTGAATGCAACTAATAGAGTGGACTTTGCAAAATATGACAGTAGTTTCTTTTGTCAGTGAGATTTGGAAAAGAACAATATACAGAACCCAGGTACACACTCAGTCTTAACTCCTGTAAATTGTATTCTTATATGGAAGATTTCTGAGAGTGTTCCAAGCTGCCGTTGGTGAGTATCCTAGGATGGGTGAGGAGCAGCCATAACAACTGTAATTTCCTCAATATTGGTTTTGCATAATATGATGGGTGCTGAAAGAAACTATCCAACTGGAAAGGAGTAAAACAGCAGCAGATAGGTTGGAACGCAAGACCGCCTGCACTTGAGGCAAGCTGCTGTGGCCAGTGGACGGTAATACTGATGCTGCTCAGCTCGGTGAAAAGGTTCGGGATTGTTATGGCTTTGGTTGTAGATTCACCAGCTGGCGATGTTGCAGAGGGGGCATCTTGAAGGTTTTGCCTATCAATGAGTGCATGTCGTGATGCTTCCTGTTTTAATCACCTCATTGCCCTTTGCTGGCTGCTTTTGTGTTTTTGTGAACTAATGAAATCACCTCAGTCTCTGCTCAAGCTGCCTCTTTTGTTTAAATATTGCTGAATTTAAACTTTATTTTTGAAAGTACACACGTCCTATAAAACTCAAAAGATTTAGGGTAGAAAGAATTGACATTTCAACTTCTGTGATTCATTATTATCTCGATTGTTTCCACCTTCAGAGTGTCAAGACCGTAAATGCGTTTCGTAAAGTGGCAACAATCAAAAGCTGGTCAGAAAAACATTTGCACAAAAAACCCCCAAAACTTCAAGATATATGGGATATTCTTTTTGCATTTTGATCCTAATGCACACTCTACCCTATTCCATTGACTTGATTTTTGCCCTGTAGCTTAACCAATGATGCTAAAGCTTACACTGTTTGGTGGTTTGGTTCCGTATCAGAGCAGAATCTCTTTGAGACACAAGTGACCTGCATCTGAAAAAGACCATAGTAGTGTTCAGTCCGTAAACATCAGATTGATAACCTGCGGTGACATCATGACACCCAACATCCTCACGCCAAGATGAAATAGGCACAGAATAGCCCAATGAGCTGAGGAATCAAATTCTGGCCAGTGCTAGTGGAATTGAACTTCAGATATCATCAGTAGCCCCGAGAAAGGGGTGAAGGCAGTCAGTACAACAGTTAATAGCATGCTGTAGATCAGTGTCGTCCAGTATGTTTTCTACTAAGCAATTGCATGCCTGATCATTAAATAGACATAGTTATATCAGTTAAGTCAGTTATAGACTAAGTGTTTGGGCAATGGATCTCAAAACTCACACAATGGAGAACTTTAACCTTGTGTGTTGATTGGTAGATTTGTATCATGAATGAATAGCAATATGTTTTTTGTTTGTTGAGTGCTTCACTTTTTTGGTTAGGTGGTAGATGTTGGTTTGGTAAAGCATCAATTACATTTAGATGTTTGGCGTGAGTTTGTTTAAGATATTTTCTACACACATTGATGCATGTGGCTAACCCTGTGTCATTGTAACCACATTTGTGCTAGTCGGCAACATTATTGGACAACACTGCCATAGAAATTTAATAAACGGACTGGAATTCAATAAACCCATAATACCTGGTTTAAGCCGCCTCCCAGTAAAGTAACATTACTGAAATGGGTTAGATTTTCCTATTTTAAACACAATTGAATTAATTCCAGTGAGAACAGAAATAAACCCTGTTTATTTTGCTGATTGGATTTCAGGTCTGTTCATGCTGACTGTGCTTTTCTCCATCCATAATACAACACATTCAGTATGACAGAAGGTGGCTGCAAGCTGCCCAGTTTTGGCCCATGTGGGGACGTGTGTGCTTCCTTTCATTCCTGCAGCACTGCATTCTTGTTTTGCGATTACTTGTCTGTTGTCCCTCTGTCCTCAAAGATGATGTCTTCTATGACCCGTGCTGTACGACCACGGTTCCCACCTGCCTCTGTTGCATCGTCCACGCCTCAAAGCTCCGTTCCTCTGGGAGGACAGCAAATAGCACAGGTATTTAACTGTAAAATGGGCAGCTCTCTAGGTTGACTTATGGGTAATGTATTAAATGTTCCAGGTTTGGATTTTCTAAAATCAGTGAGTTACTGAACTGCACAGAAATCCCATACAGTTGAGTCCCAAAGTAGGTGCTGCTTGCTGTGTAAGATCAAGGTGCAAAGCAAATTTCAGTCCATCTCCATTCATTTTACAGTGATTGTTATTTTGACAACCTACTGGGTAATGTGTAAGATCATTGTGTTTGGCTCCAAAGTCTGTTGTGGCTGCAGCTGGGCGTTGAGAATTGTTGGGGTAGAGAGGAGGGAACATTGCCAGCAACCCTGTTCATGATCACTACCAGTGAGCTCTAGCTGGAATATATGGGGAGTAAGGTGAAGGCGATAATATGCGAAGAAAGATATTCTCTTCATAATTGAATTATCTGATGACATTATCCAGTAGGGATTAAATAGAGGAGTAGACACTCTCTTAAGAGGTTGAAAATAAAGAAAACTGTTCGTGTTCCTAATGTTCCAAGGAAAAAAATAAAATTTAACTGGGACAAAGTTTGTTGACCTTCCATTACTTTGTAAATGAAGTTTGAGAACAGTTAAAGACTTTTTACATGACCTAGATCACTGTGCTGTTTCTTGCATTATTTTATATACATGGTACAACCCTGTGAACTGGTGCTGAAGTAAAAGGCCTTTGTATTGTTTTGCACAGACCAGATTACCGCAGATTCTATTCTTTGTCATACTGCACTAACAGGGTGAGGGTGGAGGCTACTGTATGTAGCTTTATTGGGCTTGGATAAAAGCTGGAGGACTGGGCCAGTGTTTCTACTCCTTACTATTTCCCAGAATCAAATAAAATATCACCTCATTGTTGAACAGCCACAGACAAATACAGGTGCTTTCTTGGAGAAATACCTGCTGATATTCTAGCAAGAGTAAGTGTGATTGGGAGAAAAGGGCAGAACATTGGAGCTGTTATTTTTTATAAAACTTGTAAAACTTTTCACTGTATTTCTTATTGTCATGGGTATTTTTACAAAAGTTGCTATTCTATTCTATGAAAGGGCTTTGTTCTTACATGGAGTTATTGGGTTGGGCATAATTCCAGGAGCATCCTGTGTAGAAACTGTGCACCACATCATGTCCATTTACAATATTTTATTGATACCTCTTACTTCCTAGTCAAAACGCCCGACAGGTTTGAATTTTAATTACATAGAAGGGAAGAGAAGAAAACTTTATGAAATTAAAATAAAGAAGTGAATCCTTAAACAAATTAGGATTATACCACAAGCAGCTTCCTAACATGGCCTTGTCACATTGTGGAACCTTTGGACTTGGCCCTTTGGATTTCTGTGAGAGATTGACTTGAGGTTTTTGAAATCTAACCTGTTTAGATGTGAAAATGTTGACTATGATTATGTATCACTCTAACCAAAATGTGCTTTGGCTTTTGAAACCAAATTAATTCAGAATAACGGGAGATAAGAATCTGCCTGAATATGATAACTGATTATAGTTGTCACAAGTTGCATCAGGGAGTCAACTTATAGAACTGTCCTCATAATCTTGTGTTTTTGTTTTGCAATTTGTTTCAATTATGTTTGTGCTTTCAGCTTATGGATGGATTTTAAACAGCCTTTTGTCCCATTCCCTTGTAAGAAGCTCTGCATGGTTCCCATGATGTCTCTGTTAATGTATAGCTTGTCAGTCAACTAAATACGTATGCATTTCACACCCCCTGCTGCTTTCCTGGGAGGGAGGGCTTTGTTGAGCCACTTCATTGGTGTGACCTGTGTGGTTGAACAGAATTTGGGCAAATTATTTTGTACATTGCTGCTGCCTGATTGCTGGAACTTAAGCTGTCAGTCCCAGAACTCTATTCGTTCCCGTAATCTCTTGAAAGGCTAAATAGCACATATTGTACATTAACAAACTTTAGTTCAGGCATGTGTACTTTTGTGCTTAATAAAAACTTTTTGTGTGGGGTCTGATATCCATTTCACTGATGGAACTGTGTTTTTTTTTCACATTGTGATATTGTTGGCCTGGTAAACTGCCAGCAGATGAATCTTTGCTTGTTTAGGTTTAATTTGGCAAGAGAAACTCTGAATGTAGGTTGACAGTTGTATTATCTACAAAGAGATATGCAGTTAATACACAATCAACTTGAAAGATAAGTACTTCTCAGCACGTTCTGCATTTAATACATCCTGTTGCAAGGGAGTGCAGTTCCATGTAACAATGTCTAAAGCGTTCTGTAACTGAATTCATTTCTACCTCTCGAACCTTTACCATATGAGAGGACAACTAGAAGGACATCCTGTTTTCAATAATGTTCCATTTTGTAGCTTGGTCTGATGAGCGAGGTAAAACTTGATTAAGTTATTGAGCACACTTAGGCTTTCTAGCATGTTAACCTCATGGTAGCATATCTTAACTTCTACTTACAATGTGTGCATTAGTCAAGGGGCCTTTATCCCACTCAAGGTTGGGCTTTGTTGATTTTACTAATATGTCTCAGGTTTGGAAATGCAGGTAGTACAACCGACATAACATTTTCTAAGTTTAGTCTTCCTGACGCTATTAGTTTGCTTTATGTTAGATAGGAACTGGTGTGGGAAGGCATACAGAGAGACAAAGCTTTTTAGAATCCTATCAGATTGTTGTAAGGGTGCATAGTGAAGGTTCCACAAGTGTTTGTGTTTAAGCCTTTGGATGGATTTTCAAGCTTTGTCATGGTGGAGTGAAGAGTGAAGCAGCTATAAAACAACATTGCTTTTATGTGGAGATAGTAAGAATTGCCGATGCTGGAGTCAGAGATAACACAGTGTGGAGCTGGAGGAACGCAGCAGGCCAGGCAGCATCAGAGGAGCAGGAAAGCTGACGTTTCGGGTTGGGACCCTTCTTCAGAAAGAAGAGTCTGACCCGAAACGTTAGCATTCCTGCTCCTCTGATGCTGCCTGGCCTGCTGTGTTCCTCCAGCTGCACACCGTGTTATTGCTTTTATGTGAGAGCCCATATGAGCATCTCAACAACACCGATTCCAGCACAGACTGAAGGGATGCAGTCTTACGTTAAATGGGTTTGTACAGTTTGAAGTCAAGTTGGTCATGTTGGACTTAGTGCTTTGACATGCTGCTCATTACCCATGCAGCAGCCAGTTACATGCACAGCAATCCTATTTCAGGGAGCTGCTCACTCTTTCAGTCACACTAACCGCTCGCGCTGTTGGAGACCTGACTCTGCTGGGTTAAGTAATTGGATGTAAAGGCCTGCATTAACAATAAGCCTAGGCCTAATTGCTTTTCCTTGAGGATTTCCTTCACAGAAGGGACAAGTAAATCAGCAGAGTGACTCACACTTGGAGTTTGAGTCACAGCAGAGCAATCTGAAACTGTGGGGTTAGCTCTATTTAATTAGGAAGTAATTTATCTATTAAATGTGCTCATGACAAACCATGTTATTTTAAGTCTTGCGACAAATGCTTCAGATATGAATGTGCAAAAAAAGGGGGAGCGGATCAATATCCAGGGTGTTCAAAACCCCATTAAATTTCAGCAATGGTTTTAGTCTTTGGGCCATTCCTTCTTTTGGGTGGATTTCCCTTGGATTAGTCATCAAAAGCCTTGAAACAAGGTGCACTTCTGCAACATGGTTAGTTCTACAATTCCACCATTTGTTTAGCTTGGCCTTCTAGATATACATTGAGATATTGTAATGAATTACTGCATGGTCAATCTTGGATACTGCTTGCATAACTTAGAATTAAAGCTTTTGTCTGACAAAAACTACTTGTTCCTTGACATTTGATTCTTTTGAATTGCTAGATTGATGGAAATGATAATGTTTGAACCTTGTAGTTGTGAAAATCCTGTTTGGAAAATAGATCTTTTGAAGTAGTTTTAGTCTGGTGAGTTCAACATCCAGACACTTTTTTAAACCCATAAAGCCTGGAATACAAAGGTGATGAAAGTTGTCCTTCGCTCGTATAAAGCCTTGGACTGACCACATCGACATATATGTTCAATTTTGAGATGCAGGATTGATCCATTAGGGCTTGGGGTGTTAATTAATGGCGGTAAGCATTGGGAATATCACTATATGTGCAAGTTTCCCTCTGAACTACAAACTATCCTGACTTTATTAGAAAATATATCGCCTTTCCTTCTCTATTGCTGGATCAAAATCTTGGAATTCCATCCCAGAAAGCTTTTTGGGAGTATCTACACTACATAAACTGCAGCGATTCAAATAGGTACCCCACCATCACTTTCTCTTGGGCATTTAGATATAGGCAACAATTTCTGGCCCAGCCAATGACACCCGTATCTCAAGGAATAACTTAAAAAGCTATGAAAACAAGTTCTGTATTCATAACTTGTGTCCCCTTGATTTCATAATCTGAGTTGTCTGTAATGATAGAAGAAATCATTTAGATAGTCACCAACGAACTGTTAGGTAGGTGATGGCCAGGTGGCGTTACCTAGTGTATTATCACTGAACTACTAATCCAGGGACTCTGGTAATGTTCTGTGACCAGGATTCGTATCCCACCATGGCAGATAGTGGAATTTGAATCCAATAAAAATTTGGAATTACGAACCTATTGACGACTATGAAATCATTGTCAATTGTCAGGAAAAAATGCCTTGTCCACTAATGTGAAGGAGATCAGCTGTCCTTATTGGTGAGGACTACATGTGACTTAAGATGCACAGCAATGTGGGTGTCTCTTAACTGTTCTCTGGGCAATTAGAAATGGGCAATAAATGCTTGTCTAGTCATTGATGCCACATCCCATGAATGAATAAACAAGCAAAAAAATCCCACTGTTAAGGAATTCAAAAACAAAGGAACGCAATCTTTACATTAGAGCTAAACCAAACACAAACGAGGTCAGAAGTGCTTTTCTGCACACAAGATTGGTGGAAATGTGTGACACTATGAATGTTAGGATACATTTGGAGTTTTCAAGGTTGATAGTCAATAGATTTT